AATTCTCGTAGATTTTTTTAAAAGAATTTGTTTTAACAAATTCAAAATTTATAATATATACAATAATAATTAATTTGAACCACAAGAGTAGTGCCTGATTAGTTTGAGCTTGACTCCAAAGATCAAAAGTACCAGGAGGTTCCAAGTTCAAATTCAAGGAGGAATAAAAATCCCCTTGTGGCCATGGAGGTTCAAATGCAGTGACTCCGGACTATCTGCAAAGCAGGTGGTCGTCCTGGAATTAGTCGGCTCGCATAGCGGGTTGGATATCCAGGTTAATTAAAAAAATCAATTTGAAATTCTTTTAATTAACATATTATATTATTTATTTTTTTAATATCTTATTTGTAAAAAAACATATTATATTATTAGGGATTTGTTGTAATTATATTATGAAATGTTGTAAATCACTAATTTTTCAAGATGTTATTTTTGATCATTTTACATTTTTCATCGAACTTATCAACTATTTTTTTAATCAAAATATGATTTGTTTATCAGCTAAGTTATCAACTAGTTTTTAACAAAGGTGATTTATTCATTAACTAGCTTATCTGCTACCAGCTAGTTTATCAACTAGTTTCTTTCAAACATGATCTATTCATCAGCTATCTTATCAGCTATCAGTTACCCTATCAACTACCGGCTACCTTATCGGTTAATTTGTCGAACATAGCTAAGCATAAACCTAATTGAAGTTGTTTTTTTTCACTTTTGCTTGATTCAATTTTGCATGATTATAAGATATGAAAACACAGAAGAAAGAGGGACGAACCGTGATTTCAATTGGAACCCGAGTATCGATCCGATGAACGTAGTAGAGATCAATGCAATCGATATCAAGTCTCTTCAAGCTAGCTTCACAAGCTGATCGGACATACGCCGGATCACCACTCACCTCGAAGTTTTCATTGATCAATTTGAATCCAAATTTCGTAGCAATTTGAACTTTCTCTCTCAATCCTGTTTCTTTCATAGCCTGCACAAATTTTTTTCAAATTCCCCAAAATTCAAATCAAAATCAAAATCCAATTGACAAAATTTTTCAAGTTCCCAAATTCAAATCAGAATCAAGATCGGATTGAATTGATGAATTAGAAGTTAGTTACGTACCTTTCCGATGAGGATCTCGTTGGTATAGGGACCGTAAACGTCGGAGGTGTCGAGGAAGGTAACGCCGGAGTGAATTGCGTGGCGGAGGAGGTGGATCATATCAGATTCCGATTTTGGGGGTCCGTAACTCCCAGACATACCCATACAGCCCAATCCTTGTGCTGAAACAACTAGACCTTGTGAACCTAATTTCAGTTTTGGCACCAGCGTCGCCATGGTTGTTTCTGTTTGTGGATGGAAAGGTGCTTAAACTCTAATGAAGGTTTCTATGGCCATAAATCGATTGGTAAACATTGTACAGCGGCAGGGTTTGAATTTGATAGTGAAGGCGGGATGGATGGTGATTGGTGAGTGAACCAAATTTATACAGACACAGAGTTGAGTGAGTTGACTCATCATTACCTCTCTTTTTTTTGGGCGGCCAATCCAATCAAGACAAAAAAGTAAACGACAAATTTTTTGGATTTTTTAAACTTTTTTTTTAAAAACAGTAAGCAAAACCAAAGACAACACTCGGTAGGAAACTTTTTTAAACCTTTTTCATCCTTGTGGCTTGTTTAAAAGTATGATTTTGATATGTATGATCAAGAAATTAGTAGTTAAGAGACTGTTTGGCAGTTGTTAATGATGTGATGTTGAATGATTAAGTGATCAAAATGATCAACAGATTCTCATGATATAATGTAAAAAAATATATATTATTGTTTATAATAAAATTGGGGCGCTGAATGGTTAAGGGTGGCCCATGTTACAAAATCATTCAGAGGGTTTTAAAACCATTAATTGGGTAAATTATGGAGAGAAATGACTAATGGACCAATTTTATACGAAGGAAACGACTATTTTGACCAATCTCCCTACGTATAAAATAATAAATATATATAATTCAGTATTGACTTGTAACAACTCGTCTCACATAGATAAAAGATGAAATTGTTAGCTCCTTATAAGTCTCAAGTAGTGGGTTACCAATAACTTCCACCATGTTTTAAGTTGGATTTGAAGTTATTGGGCCAATCCATCGCTTTAGGCTTTGGGGATGTTACAAATGGTATCAGAGTCGATCCTTGTACCATCAGGATGGTGGGGCAAACCCCATCGGTATGATGAGTCCTCGAGAGGGAGTGTTTGTAACATCTTAAGCGAATTCCATATTGCCGATAATAAGGAGAAAGATTATGGGTAAGCCTGATGAGGACGTCAAGGAGTTTAAGTGGGGGAGTTTTAACAACTCGTCCCACATAGATACAAGGTGAAATTGTTAGCTCCTTACAAGCCTTAAGGTTTTCGCGCTTTCTTTGCTCGATAACACCTTAAATGTTGCTCGGTAAAACCCCAAATGGTAAAATGGTAATTTTTGTCGTTCGGAATTTTTATCATTTATCTAGTTTTCATTCGAGACTTACAAAAAGGTTAAAATTACAAACTAGTTATTCCAACATGCGACAGTTTATTTTAATCCATAGAGATAGAGGGCATACAAAACTGGCCCCTACCTAGTTACCCTTCCAAGACGACACAGGAGGAGTCTCTGAATTGATCCAAGTATGTCGCATGTTTACATGCCTTTCTCCCCTCACCATTTCATTGGAAGCAAACGATTCGAGTTCCGCCATCTCTTCGGCAGTCAGCTTAATGGACAAAGCTCCGATATTTTGGTTAAAGTTCTCGAGCTTCGTGGTACCGGGTATTGGAACCACATCCTTTCCTTGGTGATGCACCCACGCTAGCGCTAGTTGTGCTGCGGTGCACCCTTTTCTTGTTGCCATCGAGTTAACTCGCTCGAATACGGTCTTGTTGTGCTCCACATTCTGAAATCTAGGCATACTCTGCAAAAGTTCCAGTAGAACATAAGGTTCCATTCGTTTACGGAAAGAGTAAACCAATCCAGACGAGCCAAGTATATCACACCTGGGGGTGGGTTCGTTGATAATGTTTTATAGAAACATTAAGATGATATTAGACAGATCAAGTGAAAAAGTTCCATCCAAACACGTTTTGACAGGATATTAAAGCTTGGATATTAAAACCCAAGTATCTAAATGGCGTGGCCGTGGCAGCGAGGTCAATCCTCAAGCCTTAGAAGCCACAGCGAGGCCACGCTGTCTTTTATGGCGTGACTTATGACATCAAATTTATATATCATATATCTTATTTTATATATATGCACAAATGTTTTCTTCTATTACTCAATGAGATAGTGATATTAAACAATTTAAATTAGGTTATATACTAAAAAACCAAAAAGTAGGACTAAAAAGATAAGAAAAATCAAATATGGCGTTGGAAAAACCGCTCATTGGGCCATGGCGTGCCGCAGGCTTAACATGGCGTGCCGCAGGCTTAACGTGGCGTTGGACATGATCCTTCAGCCACGTGCCATGGCGGCATCCATGGCAAGCCTTTTAGAACACCGAGGAAAATTCAGGAATCAAATCAAATGTGTTTTGAATATTTCTCATTGTTTTCTTGTGTGATTTGATATAGCTATCTTGTGATCATCCATTCATGTAAACTCTTGCTGTATAGATGATAAACTCTTGGATCATAAAAACATCTTATGATATGTATTATGCACATTTACATACCTTCCTGAAGTCACCCTCGATCAAGTTTTCGACCAATTTAGGACCGACAGCCAAGAATCCCCTGCCGATAGGACTGTAAGGAACAATTCCAATGCCAAGTTCTCTGCATAACATATTGAATCATTGAATCATCATCAAACAAACTAAATCAGTGTGAATTATCATCCTCAAATTACCCTAAAACAACATTAAAACTTCTATAAAGCACCTGCAAGTAGGAACAATTTCATCCTCCAAATCTCGTCCATAATGACCACTCATTTTGTACTGCTGTTATTGGATGAACAGCATGAGCTCTTCTGATTGTTGAAGCAGATGCTTCTGATAATCCAATATACTTGACTTTGCCTTCTTCTACCAGTTTCTTCAACTCTCCCATCTTTTTGTTACAGTTTGTCACATGAACAAGTGTTAACAACAATTGAATATTTGGAACTTGGCTTATATGTGAGAAACCTTGTGCCATATTTGAGCATTAAATGAATCATTTAACAGCTTGGTCCTTGGTGTGTGGGTGTTCATGGTGGGCTCTCCTTGCTCTCTACACACACACACACACACATATATATATATATATATTAAAGTTCAAGTAAGAACTTGAATTTGATTGTTGTATTCTCTAGGCAATTCAAGTAAGAACTTGAAACTGTGTTGGTGCAGGCCTCAATCTGTTCCGTTTTAAATATGCAAATTCCAGGTACGATTCTTGGATTCTATCTATTGTTCTTGTTGATTTTACGTTTATTTCATAGATTTGTATATGAATTTCCATTTTCTGTAAATTTGTTGAAGCAAATATATACATATTTCTATTTTATGATTAATTGCTCCTAACAGCATATAGCCATGGCTACCATACAAGATTGAAATTGCAAAAAACAGCAAAAAATAAGCAATACACTAATTGAAATTCTCAAACCACTGGTTTTGGTATTTATGGAGTAGCAAATTTAGTTATGGCAGATTTGCCTAAATTAGAACACGAAGAGAAGGAAGGGAGACGAACCGTGACTTCAATTGGAACACGAATGTCGATCCGATGGACGTAGTAGAGATCAATACAGTCAATATCAAGTCTCTTCAAGCTAGCTTCACAAGCTGATCGGACATACGCCGGATCGCCGCACACATCCGGCTTACCGTCGATCCATTGGATTCCAAACTTCGTAGCGATTTGAACTTTATCTCTCAGTCCTCCTTCTTTCAAAGCCTGTACGACGATTTCACAGAATCCCCAAATTTAAAACCAAAAACTCAAAAACCGTACCTAAAAAAATCCGATCGATTAATCAGAACACTCGTTACTTACCTTGCCGACGAGAATTTCGTTGGTGTGAGGACCGTAGACGTCGGAGGTGTCAAGAAAGGTGACGCCGGAGTTAATGGCGTGGTGGATGAGCTTGATCATGTCGGGTTCGGGTTTGGGGAGTCCATAGTTTCCAGACATGCCCATACAACCCAATCCTTGTGCTGAAACAACTAGACCTTGTGAACCTAATTTCACTTGTGGGACCACCGACGCCATTGTTGTTTGTGGGTTGGAATTTGCTGAAATCCTAATGAGTTCTTACTTCTTATACCATCTCGACTGGTAAAGATTGCACAGCAGGAAGCTCGAGTATTGAAGGAAGGGAGGATGATGAAGTCACTGATGACGTCACTGCTATAGGTGATAGTAAGGGTGCGTTTGGTGCGCAGACAGGACAGGACAGGACAGGACAGGACAGGACAGCTGTTCAGTGTTTGGTAAGACAGGACAGGACAGGACAGAACTGGTTAAAATGACCAATTTACCCCCAGTGAGCTGTTTAGTGTTTTTTCACTACGAAATGCATTCTGGTAACACTGGTCCTACTACCACTACAGCCCTAATAAGTACTTCAATTAATTAAGTTTCATAACTAACTAAGTTTTTCATCAATTCCTATTTTATCTAGTTTCATAAGCTATATTTCACACATCATCTGTGCATACAAACCAAGAAAACARGATTCAAATGGAAGATGCACATCAGAATCTATGATATACAAAAGGGTATTTTGCTGAGCTGAACAGGAGTGATGCTGATTAACAGAGATGGAAAAAAACGAAGAGAACTACTTTCAATTAACCAAGTCCCCATACAAGAAACCCACTTGATGAAATACTCACCTCTCTCCGATAGTGTCGCTTGAATCCCACCTGGTCTTTTACTTGCCTACTCAYAAACAATCAAGATCCAAATCAAAACCCATCCTTCAACGAATCAAAAAAACTCAAACTATATCATGAAATTTGAACATATCAAACCTGATTGAAGGGCTTGTGTGAAGATTGAGTGAACGAAAAAGGGGGAAAACCCAGAAATGTGTGACCGAACATGAGACCCAGATAGCAATCGAAGAGAAAATGGAGGTGTTTAAGTGGTGGTTGTTCAGCGGCGATGGAGGTGGCAGAGGTGAAGCCAGTGAGTGCGTGAAAGGAGTCGAGAGGTACCGTCGATGAAATCAACAAAGTCGAGAGGTACCGTCGATGAAATCAACAAAGTCGAGAGGTACCGTCGATGAAATCAACAAAGTCGAGAGGTACCGTTGGTGAACACAGTCGAGAGGATGAAGGAAGCGATGGAGTCGAGAGGTACCGTCGATGAAGGAAGCGAACACAGTCGAGAGGTACCGTCGATGGAGTTGATGAAGGAAAGCGATGGAGGCGGATGACAAGGGGGATGGAACCAGAAGCGAGGTGATGAGTCGGGTAGGGGAAGAAGGGGTAATGAGGGAAAAAGTTTTGTGTTCCACTTAGTTCTAGGGGTAAGGGTGGAACAAGCTTGTCCCATGTTTGTCCAACTTAGTTCCACTTAGTTCCACATTTAGCCACACCAAACGCAGGACAAATGTGTTCTGTTCTGTCCTGTCCCACCCTGTCCAGCGTACCAAACGCACCCTAAAAGTCAGAGCAAGCATCTCCAAAATGGAGAGTAGGTGAGAGAGCGAGAAAGATACGTGCTGATTTGTAATTGATGAATTATTTAGGGTAAAATAATTAAGTGATCAAAATAATTAAAATGTTTTTATGATATAATGTAAAATGAAATATAATTGTTTGGTATTACAATGAAATCAGGGTTTTTAATGGTTAAGAGAGATTCAAGATACAAAATTATTCAGAGGGTTTTAAAACCATTAAAAGATAAACTTTTTTTTGTCAAACAAGATTCACCATGTAACGATTCAGATGTTACCTCTTAATAGAACTATTAAGAGGTAAACAAACAACCCCAGAGTAAAAATCCACAAATTTGAAAAGAAAAACCCCAAAAATGATTATAGTGAAAGAAAAAAAATACTATTTTCTATGCTAGAAAGGTAGTGCAATGTAGCGAGATATATGTCGATGTTAATGTTTCGTTTTATTTTTTTCTCTATCGAATCAGAATATAATTTTATGTGATTTTAAGAAAGCGATAATGTTTTTATTTTTGAATAAAATATACATTTAAATATATCATAAAAAATTTAAAAAAATAACATAATATAATTTTTTGTTTAATAATATAATTATGTAAGTTTAATAAT